ATCTTGGGCACGCACACACACGCGCCCGGTGTGAGTTTTAAGCGACCGGGTCTGGGACGCAAACTGCGGTCGACTACGTGGGAGTCCAGCGACATAACCATTACGCTAACTGCTGGTTCCCGAGAAATTTAGATAATCTTGTAACATTTTAGAAATTCACAATAGCACATGTGAATATGAGAGAAGAGAGAATAGGAAGGAAGCATCCTCAGTAGAGTCTCTTCACACCATGATCCCCTTCTCCCAGTTTTCTAGCTTATCAGAATCCTACGTACCTGGCATATTTTCAGGCCACCCCAGGGATCCAAACTCACAGTTTGCCAGTGTGTGGCTTTCAGCACTGCAGTTCAGTTTGCTGTCAATCGCACCACCGATCTAGATGTAGATAATTTAAAACTTTTCTTTCTAACAAGTACATGTAAAACAATAAATTTTCCTCTAAGCACTTTGTTAGCTATATCTCACAATTTTTGATATATTGTGTCTTTAATGATCATTTAGTTTATAATCTGAATTTCTTTGATTTCCCTTTTGGCATATGGGTTATTTGGAAAAAGCTTATTTAATTTCCCAAGTATTTGGGAACCTTTCCACGTAATCTTTTTTGTATTCATTTCTAACTTAATTACATTGAGGTCAGAGATGTAGTCCATAAGATCCAGTTTTTAAAATTGGCTCACTTTTGGATATGAATATGGTCTGTCTTGACTTTATATACATTTCATATGAATTTGAATAAACTGTATATTCCTCAGTTATTCAGTAGTGTTCTATGAATGACAGTTAAATCAAGGTGATTGATAGCATTGAAATATTCTATATAGTTAAGTTTTTCTAGTTATGTCAATTGCAGCTGTCAATAGAGGTATGTTAGAATCTGAAACTGTGGTTTTGGATTTGTTTTGTTGGTGTTTGTGCGCATATGTTTTGAAGCTCTGTTATTAGTTGCATACATGTTTATGGTTTTCTGTCTTCTTCTTTTTAAATTTTAAATTCCCAGAAGGCATGTGTACTTACTGGAGACAGAAAAAGAGTAGGAGAAAGCAGCCCCCAGTGGGGTGTAGGTTACTCTGCAGTCCCTTCATCCCCATTTCCCATTCTGTCTAGACCTGGGCACACACGTGCACGTACCATGTGTGTTTTTCAAGCCTTCGGGGCCAGGATTCAATTTTAGTTGGCTATGCGATATCCATCTCCCTTAACCACTATCAGGATGGCCCATTACATTAGGATTTTTAAGAGTAGACTTTTGTTTGTTTGTTTTTGTTTTTTACATTTTGTTCAGCTTCGATAATCACATTAAGGTCAGTTGATCTAACCATGTAACTGTGCTAGTACAGGAAGCCAGTACATCTCATTTTATAATAGACTTCCTGCACTTGTTTATTGTTAATTGCCAGAGTGTGTGTGCACTCTCTAGAGAAAGGGAGGGTGGAGGGGGGACACTCCACTCCTGCTGGGGGTGTGATAATGCTGCAATCCTTCCTCCTCCATTTCTCCATCCTGTTAGGATTTGGGGCATGCGTAGTGTGTTGTTCAAGCTGTCAGGACTAGGATTCAAGGTGCTTTTGGCCATGTGGTATTTTGTTCCCTTTGACACTGGGCTAAAGGACTGGCCCTATTACTAGAATATATTTTTAGAAAATTTTTTAGATAAATTAGGGAGGTAGAGCTTCCGTGTGCTTCCGGCATAGCTTCCTGTATTATTATCCTACATTAATTTGCTACATTTATTTCAACTAATAAACCAGTACTGATGTATTAACTAATGTCTATAGTGTTCTCAGATTTTCTGTGATTCTCTCTTAAAGTTCTTTTTTGTTCAGGAATTCATTGAGAATATCACGTTTCAGTTAGTTGTTACATCTCCTTTGGCACTTCTTAGCTGTGACACTGTCTCTGACTTCCTTTGTTTTTGATGACCTTGACATTTTCTTTTTTTAAGAATTATTTTATTGAACTTTATTTATTTATTTTAACTTGACCAGAGAGGGACAGAGAGAGAAAGTGAGAAAGCAAGCCATCCCATTTGGGACTCAAACCATGGTCAGCCATGTGAGAGTCCAGCACCCTTAACCACCACGCCACCTGCAAGCCCCGACCTGGTGGGTATATTGTAGGCTATTGCTCTCTTGGAATTCACCTTGTATTTTTCTCATAAATAGACCGTAGCTGTAGGCATTTGGGAAGAAGTGTACAGAGGCCAAGTGACATTTCTGTCACATCATAACAAGGGAGTTACCAATATAATGAATGACTGCTGGTGTAGACCTCAGTCACCTGGCTGAAGCAATTCTGTCAGGTTTGTCCACTGCTATTTCTTCCCCTTTACTCACGGAAGTCCCATATGCAGTCTACTCTCAAGGCTGTAGATCTTTGTGTGTATCTTAAGGATGTAGATTGACACAAGGCTGGGAATCACTTGCTTTCGCTTAGGTTCTGGATGCAAACCCTTTCAAAAACCTAAATTCTTGTAGCAGTAGCTAGCGTTCAGATTAGATTGTATATTGACTTATTCTTCAGTTTATTCATTTAACATGTTTAGTTAATTGTACCATATGCAAGTTATGCTTGTTTTTTGGTGAAGAAGCCTTTCTAGGAAGTTGTGTCTATCTTCAAGATGCTCACAGACTGTGTGGGTGACGAATATTCAAGAGGTAAATGTCTCATTGGGCTGACCCCACCCATAGTGTAACCCCATTCGGTTACGGGAGCCAAATTCTACACGGTTGACACTGGTTTGAGTCATAGCCAGCAACTTGAAACCATGCTGGGTATGTGTGCGTGCATGTCTAGCATCATGGTGGGAAGAGGAAGGGGGTGGGGGTTGTGGTGTAACCACACCCCACTGGGGGGTGCTGTCTCTCCTCCTTTCTCAGAGTACTTGTGCCTTCTGGCAACTTAAGGAAAAATAGGAATTTGAGGATCCATTTTAGCTAATAAATGTTACAGGGTGTTTGAGGCTGCAGAATCAAAGTGCCCACTTACAGGTGGCATAAGCAGTGGGTGAGAATGTTGCCTCGTGTATCAAGGTCTGGCTATAAGGCTTTACAAAATGCTTGCTTCGGCGACACCATCAAGCCTTCTGGGCTCGCGCGTGAACTGCTCACTGTTTCTTGGTGTGCTGACCTTGGGTTCAGATTTCTTGTGCAATGGTTAGGAGTTCTGGATGGCACACCCTTGTACCTGTATCCAGAAAGGGAGTGGCCTTTCTCTTGAAATTCTTTCATCTGGAAAGAATATCTTCTTACAAATCTCCTAGCAGACATCTCTGTGGCCTGAATCAGATTGTGGCTATTTCTCATTACACCAAAAACTGTAAAGCAAAATCTGGCATTTTAAACTTACAGTGCAGCAACAAGCTATCTCTGTGAGGAGGAAACCTGGAAAAAGTAGAAACAGTAGTTGCCACAGGTGTACTAGAAACAAACAGAGATTAGGACAAGTAGTTGAGCATAAGCAAAGGGAAGAGGTGACATCTGTCTCCTACAGGCTTGGGAAGCCCCCTTAGAATGACTGACATCTGACTTCAGTTTCAGAGGATCACGCAGAGTGTTATAGGCACAAAAAAACAGATTCTACAAAGGTGAGGAAAATTTCTTAACAGTGAAACTAGAGTCTTGGAGGGCACAGTGGATTGTTTTGAGGGAAGGAAGCAGAAGGAATATGAGCACAAGTGAGGAAAAAGCAGTAGAATGTGGAGGGTTGATTGTGGAGAGATGTCCTAAGGGCCAGGAACCAGGGACGGAGCTGAGTAATTTTGTCAAGTTGCTCTGGTTGCAGGCCTGGCTGGCTGTCATGGAGACCGGTAGCCCCACAGGGTTGTGGTAGCTCTCAGCATGCAGCACCTGAGTGGTGTCCTCAGCCTCAGGAGCTGGAAAAGTGCTTCCAGGAGATTTTCCTTAACCACTGGCAAGCCACTTCGAGATCAGGGCTTTCACTACAGATGTTCCCAGTGACAGGCCTGAGTTCATTAAAATCACACCCAATAAGCATGCCAGGCTCTTGTAGCTGCTGGGAATATATTTTCAAAGAAGACTTACTTTGGGTTGGCTCCATGGCATGGCTCTGCTCAAGAGAAGCGGCATCCCACCTGGCAGCTGCAGTCTGCGCTCCAGGCCTAGTCACCCTGAGAATGCTGGGCACGTGCACAAGCGCCCAGAGTCTGGCAGGCGGGTGGGCTGGAGCAGGGTCCCGTGGCGACCAGGCCCTGTAGAGGTGCTCCCATCTGGCTCTCTCCCTCCTCCTCACTTGCACATACTCTGTCAAGAATAAAGAAAACTTTTTTTAAAAAAGCTTCTCTCACATGTCACCATAAGCACAGTTTCTAGTTTTTGCGACATTTCTCTAGCCATTTGACAGAAGCCTCCTAAAGTAAGTCAGGTGTTTTT